CCCCCCCCCCCCCCAAAAAAAAAGCATTATCTTAAATATATTTTATACCTCTGCAATTGGAGATTTTTTCACGGTAATTTTAATACTGTTGCCAACAAGTGTCGCTAGGGAAAAAATATTCCGTCCGGATGTCCGCACCTCCGAATGGGCCAACCACCGGTGGTCACGTCACTCCGCTAACGTGTATGGTGGTTGGCCGCCCAAACAAATTTCTCTTAACGTGCGGTGTCTGTATGGAAAATTTTCTCCGTCGTAGCAACCTCTTTTATGTAGTAAAATTATTAGAATAGAGTGATTAATTTATATAATACCCTTTTTATTTTATGTTTAGAGATGTATATTTTTCTTAAATAGATGGTGCAAGTTTAAAATATATTTCTTTTATTTAAAAACCATTAATAGATTAAAAACAGTCATTGTCGGTCTCAAGTCCGGATAAAAAAAAAAAATAACATGTTGTGTTATGTAGTAGACAACCAACGTAAAACTTGTCGAAAAAATTATGACATAAATCATTTTGATAATTATGTAAGTGTTAGGGCATCCCCTAAAATCGTCGCGTTGTATAGTCTTAGTACATTGAAAAGCGTGTAACAGCCACTACACCGGCATGACACTTAATAGGACGTAACAGAGAAAAGGAATTCATGTAGCCAACCCCACTTAGTGATATAAAGGTTTTGTTACTTTTGTTTGTGTTGATAGATTAAATCATCTCCCACCCAATATATTAAATATGAATTCTTTATTAAATGTGTATTTTGTTTGAAGATAATTCAGAAATGATGCATATGGCAGGACTTGATTTTAGAAGACATGTTGGATATAAAATTATTTTGTAATTATGCTCATAATCATATAAACACCAAATATATATTACAAACTTGCGCTAAAAACAATATCAATTATAAAACATGAAATTCATTATAAATAATACAACTTTTTTTATAGATTTTTCATTTGTAAATGTATGGAAGAGTTTTAGTCCCACCAAGCACTTGAAATGTTAGTTTCTTTGTTTGTTTTTTAGAACTATGTTCTTGTTTTATTAATACTAATTCAAACTAATTAAAATAAATTTGAAGATAATTATGTAATTTATTTATAATTGTGACTCATAATTGATTTTAAATATTGTCGTGCCATGTCCTTTATTTAGGGCTGTAAACGAGCCGAGCTTGAGCGAGCTCAAACTGGGCTCGTGTTCGGCTTGTTCGAAATTGTTCGTGTTTGAAATCGGCTTGTGTTCGAAACCAGCTCATGAACAGTGTGTTCGTGTTCAACTCGATTAATTTAATTTAAAAATATTTCACTTTGTTTTTTAAAGTAAGTGCTTCATCTATCAAATTCTCATCGCCTTCCAAGTGTCAATAGATTTGCCAATATTTATGAAAGGTTACAAATTAAACGTTTTGGTGGTGGTTGTTTTTAACTACTTAACCGATGTATTTACATGCGCCAAAATCAAACTATTGAGAATTTGATAGAAATTAAAATATGGGTTGTGGTTTTACCATTAATTTTGATATTTGGGCGAGGATTTGAAAAATGAATGAAAGAGGATGGTTGATTTGTAAATATGTGATTGCCCTTTTATGAAAATATTGTGCTATTGTCACTATGTTGTAACTGCATAATGTGATTAGACATTTTGCACTAGATAACACTTTAAGTTCTTCAAAGAATTTCTTAGAACAAAACTAAATACTCAAATTCTTTGGTTGACTCTATGATACATGATTGTAGTATGCTTCTCTAACTAGTGGTTCTCATACTTAGTGAAAAAAGAAGCCACTATGTTGATTTCCTAGAATCTTATTTACATTGCAATTAGAATTAATATAGCCTATCAAAAGGCAAGAGCATATAATCTTTTATTATCCATAAATACTTAGCTATATACTCAACTAAAATACATTGTACATGTATGAACTTTGATTGATTATGCTAATTGTACCCACTGCAAGATAAAATATTAGACTAATGTGTAGAACAGGACTCCTTGTAGCCAAAGATAAGCAAAATTTCACATTCTCTTTATTTATTCACTGAAGAGTTTTGGGGTGTTGCTGATAAATATCATATATGAACGCTAAAGCTCTCTTAGATTTTTCTATGTTAAAATTGACTAAAATCCTACCAGTTATATTAAACTGAGTCAAAATCTATTAATGAAGTTTGAGATAATGCTGACAGCTTTAGCCATAAAATATAACAAGCCTCTCCCAAGTTGTTCATATTATATTATTTCAACGAATATATTTACATTTGACAATAATTTAATAATGCTTCAAATAAAGAATATATTGTCAATATAAAAATAAATAAAGCAATAGCGTTACTTTATAACCTTTCATAAACATACAACTTTTCATCATTTTGTTCATAATAAAAAACTTCGACCATTTGGTCGAATTATATCATTTCATGATTGATAAGCATGTTTATAACATGAATGAATCTCTTCATTTTGCAAACCTTGTATCCTTGGCCTTCAATTGTTAATCCTTATAATTGCTACATGTAGATATTTTCCTTAAAAATGCCACTTAGGAACATTTTCTTCTCATTCATTTTTCATTTCCCAAAATTATGATTCATAGAAATACTTTAGAGAAGCTTTTTGTGTAAAACCTTTAATGATCAATATTCTTGCTTTGAAAGTGTCTAACTCTTTCTTTTAGTCTCCTCTCCATCTTATAAATCCAGTTGCACTCTATTGGTTTTACTTTATCAAGTGCTTCTACAAGTTCCCATACTTCATCAACATTCATGGATTCTATTATAAGGTTCAAAGCTTGTCTAGTTTGGTGAACATCAATATTATTATTTAATTATAACTAATATTATCAAGTTCACTCTCATTTAATAGTACCTGAAAGGCTTCACCAAAATAATTTAGAGATTGCTTAAAATTTCTTATAGTTTTCTATCATGACGAGGATTTAACATTAGAGTCAATTTTTTTTTCTCTTTGGTATGTTCATCATCCATTTTTTTGTTTGTTTTGGATCTAAATAAATAAATTGATTAAACTTTTTTTGGAAAAATTCTCTAATAATTATTTTGCTTAATTTTTATAATTTTCCATACAATTTACATTAATCAAGCAATATGTGTTTCCATAAAACCACATTAATTTCCAAGTCTTTAAAATAAAGCCCCTAATCCATTTCAATTTTTTTTAAAACAAAGTTGAATCTTATGAATGACTTATCATTTCACTAAAACTCATTTATTTACATTATTTGAACCTCCTTGATAGTGCATACATCTCAAATTGGGCTTTTAACCATTTCAAAATTATATGTTTTTTCTTAGGGATTCATTATTATGTGACTTATATATATCACTGTTGATATTACAACCTTTTCTTTGAGAATTTAGTCAATGCACATAGAAGTTAGATTAATTTACAAGAGAAAAATGATATGAAAAAGTTATATATATACTTAGTAGAAGAACTTTTAAATCATTATGAAAAAATTATAAAAAAGCATGTGATATATCTATTCACTTCTAAATAATATTCATAAAGCTTTTGAGCTATAAGACTATCATAGTCAAACATATTTAAGATTTTTAGCCAAATGTCGTAATACAATTGCAATTTAGATGTTATGTCCAAAAACCATTCGCAAGATTAATGACGAGCAATTGACATATAATTAAGGAGAAGCTTATTGAACCTAATCTTAATTTAAAGCTAAAATGATAATATTAAATCTGAAGATGAACTATGGGATTGATTTATCTTATGAGGTGGATTAGAAATATTATATACAAGCGAACAACTTTATAAGTGAGTCCCCCTAAAAGATGGTCCCATAAAACATCTTCCTAAAAGTTACTATCATATTTGGTCATGCTAAATGGAACAAATAAGGAATGCAACTGATCTCCAGCTTGACATTTCAAAATATTTCAATTTTTGTTCACTTTTTTTCGAGTGTTTCAATTTGAGATATTAAAATTGACTATCTTCTAAGTTTAAATGTCAATGAAACCTTTTTAAATATAAGAGGTGGAAGTATTTTGTTTATGATAGTTACCCAATATATGAATAATTGCATTTAATAGGGGTATTTATAGTTTTTTGCTTTAAAATAATGATTAGTGAATGTATTTCATAGTAAGATTAAGAGAGTTGATAAACATGGTAGAAAATTGAGATTTATTTTTAATAAACATAATAATATTACCAGCACTTTACCCATAATATTTTTTGAGGCACATCATAGAGCTTACTCTCATCAAGTTGCAATGTATACCATACAAAAAAAAAAAAATTTTTTTATGAGGGATATCACTGAATATCCAAAGCTTATAAGAGGGTTAGGTTCCATCAACAATTTAACAACATTTAGATGAAGAACATCGTTGTTGCTGCCTAACCTGAAAATAAATTTGAATTTGAAGGATGTACATACACTTTTTTTCCTTAGAAATTTATATAGTTTGATGACAATTGACATATTAAAGAGGTTGAATAAAATTGCTAAAAGTACAAATTCATATCCAACTATCACATATTTTGAGCTCTTGAGATGCATAAATGATTCTTTAAAGTTCATACTGTTATAGTGAATATAAAATTGACTTTGCCAAGAAAAGTCCAAGAAACATTGAGTAAATTCTTGGCTAAAGCTCAAGCATTAATTAATTATTTGATTGATTACATTTTACTTTATGTCTTAGATCTTAATAATGACATTAATTTGCATGAGATGAGATATACATGCTAGAATTTGATGTGATAGGTCTTTGATGCAGCCATGCACTGGTCATAGCATGTGATTGAGGTGTCGGTTACTACAATTTATGCTCAAGAATTTATCTACAAAAAAGTATAGTTAGGTGCATGCACCAAAATTATATATCTCTTTAGAAAAGAAGATATGTTACATGTTACAAATGAAGAAATATATTTTACAATTTGTTAGTACATAAATATATTTTGCAATATAAATATTTTCTAAATAAAAGTATAAATTGCACGTACAATTTCTATATAAAAGATTAAAATAAATTTGTTCTTGGGATTGAATATTTATTCCAATTCGTGCTCAACAATTTGATAGGTCTCCTTAAGCAAATCACTATAAAACCTTGCTATATATATACATATATATATCTTAATTTATTAGAATTCCTAGCCTATAAATCAAATTTGAGTTAAATTAATACTAAAATAGCTTTACCTAAAATACTCCATTGCATACAAGTTTCAATGCATTTCAACCTTAAATCAAAGAAATTCAATGCATACAAGATGACAAAATATCTTTATTATTGAGCACCCAATTGCATTTTGAGCATATCATCCTACAAGCCATCACTCTAAGAAATCCAAACTTCTTAACAATCAAGATGGCTTCATAAAGCCAACATTATAATGACATGCACATCCAATATCAATGTTTTAGGCTGAGGCTTTCATTTCATTCTTCTTTTTTATCTTTTGGATATCTTCCACAATGTGGATCATATCCTTATTAAGACCATTCTTTATCTTACTCTATAATAGCTATCCATGTGGTAGCCAAAATTTTTTTATTTTACTTTCAATGTTGATCATATCAGAGCATTTGTCATTGTCTTTATCATCAACCATCATCAAGATAATCTGACGAGTTAGTCCCAAAAAACTATATGTTACATGCATTAAAAGTGTCACTTGAAGTAGGTGTTCACAGTTGTTTCGAGAAGATCAAAACTTTTAAAACATGCAATAACTTTCGCCATCTCCCCTAATTTCGTAAGTAACCTAAGCAAGACATCAATATGCAAATGGAATCAATACAAATAAATCTATTACTTAGCCTTGGATTGCTTGTGTTTTAAAGGTTAATCAATGAATTACAATCAAAATAATGAAAGAAGGGAAAATTTACATGAATATCTCTTACTTCCTATATATTTATGTACCTAACACTTAAACTTTAATTACTACATATATGTCATTTTATTAATGCATGAAAATGTGCATTTTACTTTTTAAAAGTTAAAATAATGATATCTTTTTTTTATGATATAAAAAATTTGGGGGTATAAATATAAAAATTTAAGTTTAGGTGTTAGATATGAATGAATGGATATTATTTTAATATGAATGGCCTTTTCAGCCATATTTTTTTAAATAAAAATTAATGAAGATATTTATCTAAATAGTATTATTGCTAGACATAAAAATTATAAAGTCAAAAATTTTTATTTAGCCTCCAAAATAAGATAAATGGTAACATCATATTTTTTTGAATGGCTATTTACCCGTTAACATGTACACGTGTCGTTTTCTCGAATTGGGTGCGCTGAAGGTGGGCGTAACTTCGCATCAGTAATATTAGTCGACCTCCAATTTAAATACATACCGCCCAATTTCTATTTATTTACCAATCTAACAATGAGGGGTGTAAATGAGCCGAACACGAACTGACCCTTGTTTATATTTCGAGCTCAAAAAGTTTATTCGTGTTCGGCTCGTTTGATTAGCGAGCCGAACAACATCTGTTCACGAACAAAGAGTCGTTTTGACAACCTAATCACATAGCTATAAGATGTTAATGATTGAGACAAGATTTAAAACATCATTTGAATCTAATTTAATAATTTTTATTTTATTTTCTTAATTAATACTTTTAATTGATTATAAATCTTCGTAGTCTTGTACTCAATTTAATTTTTTAAAAAATACTACTCATCAACTATATATAAGTGAATTTACGCCGTGTGCTCAAGCCGAACACAAACTAACAAATATTTATTCGTGTTGTTTGTGTTCGGCTAGTTAACTTAGCAAACTAGTCGAACACGAGCTTGTTAAAGAGCCGAGCACGAGCTGTTCGCGAACAACAAACCGTTTTGATAGTCCTACTAACAATTATATTTTTTACATACATGCCAGCTTATCTAATGCTTGAAAATGCGTATTCAAATTTCTTATATTAAAATGATGACATGTGCATATTATACACTGATAGTAGAGATTTGGTGGTATAGATGTAAAAAATAAAATTTAGATGATAATGTGTAAATTCATAAACTTGGGTGGTATTTATGTAAATGCCCACCTTGATCCTTGAGTTCTTCATCTCTTATAAACGATAATCGGAAAGCTTTAGCCGGCGTATAGCCGAGAGTTTGCTTGTTCAACCGATGGATCAGGAGAAGGGGGATGACTCCGATTTACTACAGAATGATGAGAAGGTACGTGCTTGAGTTCGGTTTTTTTAATTTTTTTTCAGAGAACTGTTTTCTATGGAATTGTTTCTTGGAAGGAATTGCGTGTTGTTCTTTGCTTCTGATTGCCCTGTTTATACTTGGTTTTTGTTTTTTGTCTTGTTTAATCGGGTGGGAAGGAGTTTGGATTGGAAGTTGATCTGTGAACGATGGGGTTTAGTTGCCGACGTGAGTTTTCGAGGTTTCCATCAAGTGAGGTTTATCTGATTTCTTTCAATTTATTGTCAATCGTCGCCATCGAAACGTGCTGCGGATTTAGATATGAAGGAATTCAATGATTTCTTGCTGCGGATGAGTCTTCTAATTGTGCTGCTGAGTGAATATATTTAGCAAGGCCGGGAGCTTGGTTTGATGATTTGGGACAGGGTGATTTGGCTACATATTGAAAGATTTAAGGTTTATTTTGCTTCAAGTGGGATTTAACTTAATAAATGCTGTAAATCCAGTTTTTTTAAATGTTGAAAACTATCTTGCATGATAGTTGTTAGATCTTGCTAAATTCTATTTTCTTATTTGACTACTTTTTTCAAGGTTTAAGAGTTATGAGAGGGGAAAAGCTCAAATTCGATTAATCATGTGAATGTTGGGGGGTTTAATAAATACTACATTTAGCTAACAATGAGGATAAAATTAGATTTATCAAAATAATAAGATTTGAAGTACCCAAAATTTTGTTTGGTAGGATATAAGCTAAATTTAGTTTAAATGATGCATAACATAGTATACGAAACAAACAATGGTGAAGCTTACTTGGACGCAATAAAAACTTAGTTCTATGGTTTTTATAGATATTTTGAGGTGCAGCCCTAAAAAATAAATCATTAAATCAATTTAAAAAATACTAAGTACATACTTATGTCATTTAGATGCAAAAAATCATAAAATGTTAAATAAATAATATTAAAAGACAAATTAGGCTACAATCAGTACTAAATAAAGTTTTCCCCACTCTTGTTTCAATATAAAAGAGTAGCCTAAGGTCATAAGTTATGATGGATTCAAACCTTTCTCCCTTTTAGACACACAAAGGATTTTAATTAGAATCCTCATTGTAGCTAATCTCTTTCTCTCATTTATAATATATAAAAATAAGAAGATGGCTTATCGGCAACAGGAGGTGAGGTGTTGAAGGAGAAGCGATAATAAAGTAGTTGGATCGAGTCATGGCGTGAGCGTCCTATGGTGTGTCTCTATGAGTCTGAGGCCATGCTATTCTTCTCAAGTTTGGTATATATATATATATATATGTATATATATATATATATGTATATATATATATATGTATATATATATATATA